TATATATATATATATATATATATATATATATATATATATATATATATATATAAATATATATATATATATATATATATATATATACAGATAGATAGATAGATCGATAGATATATTTAGACTGAGGTAAATAAGATCAGATAGATAGATAGATAGATAAATAGATAGATAGATAGATAGATAGATAGATAGATAGATAGATAGAAACAGGCTCAGATAGATAGAAACCTATATAAATATAAACACACACACACACACACACATATATATATATAAAGAGAGAGGGAGGTGAGAGAGGGGGAAAGTGATAGATTGATTAAGATATATATATATATATATATATATGTATGTATATCTATAGAGATAGATAGATAGATAGATAGATAGATAGATAGATAGATAGATAGATTTAGACTGAGTTAAACAAGATCATATAGATAGATAGATAGATAGATAGATAGATAGATAGATAGATAGATAGATAGATAGATATAAACAGACAGATTTATATGGACGAGATTATATATAGAGAGACAGGGGAGATGTGAGGATATATATATATATATATATATATATATATATATATATATATATATATAGAGAGAGAGAGAGAGAGAGAGAGAGATCGATAGATAGATAGATACAGAACAGGAGAAACAGAGATCTGAAAAACGTGGTCTAGATAAAAGTATTTATGATTTTTCTCGTAAAGTACGTATATATTTATGTACAAGGCTACGCACGTGTTACGCGGTTTGGGGCCCGAGTTATGTATACGTTTCTGTTTCAACTCGTCTCTGCTTCCCCATCACTCTTACCAGCCTCATAATCTCCGCCCGCCCGCCCGCCATAAGCCCGCACGCACGTTCGCCTTACAAACACACCAGCTCTCACATACACACATGCTCACATTATTACCATGACACAATTCTTCAACCTGCACACACCCTAAAATGCAAATTATTTTCGTATTTTATTCCATTTATTCATTTAATATATATATTTAATACTTTTCGATTCTGTTGCTCGTGTTTAAGTTTCTGTATTAATTAGATGCGTTGTGTGTACAAAAAAAATATCCCTTGACAGAGAGGCAGATGACAGATAGGAACTTTTGAACAGGTGCGTCTCTTATGACGATTTTATAAACACTAGTTGCCTAAGATCAGGAAGGCTCGCCTATCGTCCGGTTCATAGTTCATTTTTTTCGAACAGGACTAGAGGTTTATCCCTTGTTTCCTGTTCTTTCAACTCTGCAATTATGGCGTCTCCGCTTGAACGCTGAAATTTTATTTAGTCTTTTCTCTTTTTCCTCACGCAGTAAGAGTAGATAGGTTTCCTTATCACCCGGTTCACACATCTCCCTTAAACAGGAGTAGAGGTTTATCCCTTGCTTCCTGTTTCAGATTGTGCGCCCAGCTCCTTCTAAAATCTACGTCAACTCTATACTTCTAATGTCTCCGTCTGAACTCTGAAATGTTATTCGCTAATTAAATCTTGACTTCCTTATATCTCGAATTAGCTGTCTATCTTTCGTGTTATCTTGATCTATTTCATTCTAATACAAATCCATACATTAACCCTATAACTTGATAGGTCCTTGGTCTTGTATTGGGTGAACAATAGTAAAAAAATAAACAGTTGAAACTTCTGGGGCACATAATGAAGAAAAGAGGCTTGGAAAATCTGATACCTACAGGGCAAAAGGACAGAAGACAACCTACCTAGAGAGATTGAGTAAATGGATGGCGGAACTGTGTTTAGGAGAAATTAGAGAAGAACAATATCTATTAAGTGCTAGGAAATATAGGAAGCTGTGGAGAGCCATGAAGGCCTATATCCTGAAGGTCCACGGCACAAAGAAGAAGAAGAAGAAGACAGAGCTTGAGTGGTGATTTTACAAGCATTGCTTAGATATGGTAGAATAAGCTTGAGTAAATGTACGGTAGAGCATTGTTTAGGAGAAATAACAAATAATTAAAATTTATTAATAGCTACATAGGACAGGAAATTGTGGAGAGCCATGATCGTTTACATCTGTAAAGGACAAAACACATGGAAGAAGTAGAACCTCGGCATGTGTGTCGTTTCCGTGACGTGTGGAACTACTGTTTCGAAATATCGGCGTGTGTGTGTCCCTTTCTCTGTGTTTATGTCTGCCCGCATGTGTCTGTTATCACACAGTACAAATACATACACATATATATATATATATATATATATATATATATATATTTATATATATATATATATATATATATATATATATATATATATATATATATATATGTATGTATGTATGTAGTTATTATTGATGTTTTTTTAGCTGTAAAAGCATGCCCACGCATATATACACAGTCCTACTTACAAATCAACAAAAATATAGACAGATATATATATATTTATATGAAAACGTTATGTAAACTTAGATACACTTGTAGCAGCTACATAGACAGAAACGAGAAGTCGTCATTATTTCAACAAATATGGATAGATTGATTAATCAGAGAAATTTTCTTGCCTCGACAGACATTTCCCAAATCTACCGAAATTATTCTAACGCATTTCTTGATTTTGCAAAAGAATTTAGACTTTTAAGTTCTATCAAATTTTGGATGGCACCTACACACACGCAAACACAAAGAGATAGGCACACGCAATATATATATATATTATATATATATATATATATATATATATATATATATATATTAATCCAGAACTATTGAGGTCTCATGCAAACCCAAAATAAAACTGGTGAAAAGCTTCACTATCAATTTCCAATCAATTACTCTTAAAATAATTTATTTGGTTGTAATACACCCCCATAGTAATGCAGGCACATGCACACACAGGCATTATATATATATATATATATATATATATATATATATATATATATATATGTGTGTGTGTGTGTGTGTGTGTGTGTGTGTATGTATGAATACATGCATTTGCATACAATACTGACACACGAGCGTTTTTATTCTCCCTCTCCGTCTCATTTTTCTCCTTCTGTCTTTGTTACTCCCTCCCACACACGCCACGCCCTTACACACTTTAGACGACAGAAACGAAGTAGGCATTCCCCCACTTTCACGTTGCGTTGATAAAAGTACGACTTTCGTTTCACGTGAAACAAACCTAACAACTACAGTACCCTCTGTAGGTGCGTGTGTGTCACGACCAGACCCAGATATGTCGCTCTCTCTCCAGTACATATATATATATATATATATATATATATATATATATATATATATATATATATATATATATATATTGTGTGTGTTCTCAGACGGAGAGCCTTTGTAGAACAGTCAAAATTAATAAAAAAGAGACAAGAGGAAAAACTATACTTAACCGAGGCGTTTCATCCACTGCAGGGCTTTACCCGTGAAGTACAATTAATCCTACATTGGTTTGATAAAATCCTCAGTGGACGAAGAGGCTCGGCTGAGTATGGTTTTTCCTCTTTTTATATATATATATATATATATATATATATGTGTGTGTGTGTGTGTGTGTGTATTTGAGTGTGTTTATATAAACAGTTGATCTGTTACATCGACATATTTTAGCAGTGTACAAAGCTATACAAATATACAAATATTGGCTACCTTTAATCGACACGACACTTATTTTACGGTATTTTTTTTCCGCATTAGATAAGACCTTTACAAACATGAGTCTGTTTTCCACATCTACAAGATAATCCCATCAGCCTGCGTGTTCGCCTGGCGTGTGTATATTTGCTGGGAGAGTTTTTAGGTCGAATACAACCATATTAAAAACTTAAAGTTACCCGTGAAAAGTCTCAGCATAAAGATATTGTTTTGTTTTTTAAAGGAATATGGACAGTTTATTGCAGGCTCCTACACAGAGGAATGGCTTCTTTTCTTTTACTTTATACATACGTGATCGTGCCTTAGTATGCAAAGATAAAGACCGTGTACCCATTACTATGTTGTAATTCAATCGATTGTGATAATGTTTGCATTAAGAGAAAACGTGATGGCATCTGCGGTACGTATAATTTATACATCAAACTTTCCTGTACGCTTACACACAAACTCTATATATCTCTCACACACAGACAAACACATGTATGTATTCGTCAGCGTGTGCGTTTGTGTGCGTGTTTTTGTTTCTTTGTTTGCGTGTGAGTATGTGTGGGTGGGAAGTGCGAGATTGTGTTGAAAAGTTAACAACTCGACCTAAAAGGAATTCCAAAGTAAATTCTTACGTTTATCTGGTCGGTCGGATGTTTGCAATACGTACATACATACATATATATATATATATATATATATATATATATATATATATATATATGTGTGTGTGTGTGTGTGTGTGTGTGTGTGTGTATATATATATATATATATATGTATATATATACGTAGGTACGTAGTTATGTGTGAGAGTGATAGAGCAAAACTTGCGTGTGTGTACGATTGTCGATGGGGTCTGTGTTTACGTTTTATGAATGAAACTTCGCGATGAATTCTAAAAAAAGATAAAAATATATATATATATATATATATATATATATATATATATATATATATATATATATATGTAAATTAGCAACGATACAAAATCTTGCACTGGATTTACATACCCTCGTAGAGAATTAAGCGTAAATATTAAGAAATATATTTTGGTATTTATTATTGTTTTTGTGAATCGAATGCAAACGTTGTGTGTGTGTGTGTGCGCGCGCGTGTGCGTGCATGTGCCTGTGTGTGTGTGTGTGTGTGTGTACGTGTGTACGTGTGTGTGTTTGTGTACACGAGTCGATCAACGAAGGAAAAGACAAAACGAAAAAGAAACAAAACAATCGCGCGCGAGAGAGAGAGAGAGAAAGAAAGAAAAAAGGTACGGAAAAAGAAAGTATACAAAATAAGTACACCTACCTTGATATATATATAAATTTCCGCTTTCCGAAAAATATCCTAAGATTTTTGGCATAAGAGGGAAGGTTGAACAAGACTCATTTATCAATGCTGGAAATCCCATTAGTGAAAGACGTCATTTTAACAGAAATATGCTTTCTGTGTTCGGTATCTTCCTCTTTCTGTCTTTCTGTCTGTCTGTCTGTCTCTTTCTTTCTCTCCTCTCTCCCTCTCTTTCTCTCTTTCTTTCTTTCTCTCCTTTTCTTTTCCTCTTTTTTTTTTTCCTTAGATGAGTTAATGTTATATTTGTTATTTATATTTATATATATATATATATATATATATATATATATATATA